AAATTCCAAGGCTGCTTCATAAATTACACAGTCATCAGAAATGAACAGTTGCTACATATTTATTGTCATTAAACCATATTTCCTTGAACGTAGAGTGTATTGCAGACAGATCGGATAGTATGCTCCTGCCACGCATTCACAGATGAGCGAATGTGTGGAGTACTTCCTTGGGTTAGGCACTGTGGAGACTCCGGAACGGACAGTGTTAATTTTTCCTACGGACACCAGAGAGCTGATACAGAGATGCAGCTATCAGGAGTGTGGTATGCAAAGACTTGAATAGGAAGCCACAATAGTAAGTTCATCCATAAACAGTGATTGGTTAGGGGCCAGCGGGTGATGTGGCAGTTAGGAGTGCTAGACTCCCGCATGGCTGACCACAGTTCAAGTCCCGGACGTGGTGGCTTGCTTTTTCACTCTCTCTCTTTCTCTCTCTGTCCCTTTCCAGTCCAATTAATATAAATAAATAAATACATAAAGTTAGAGAAAATAACTCTTTTTTAAAAAGCCATCGATTATTGGGAGAAGGTTCGCCGTGACTCTTTTGCGTTTTCGCACATCCTGTGAGCAGGCACGCGTTGTTCTGGATGCTCTTGTCAGTGGCATTTATCTAGTGGACAGCCTTGGAGGCACAGGCCCTCCCTCTGGAGCAGGCAGGTTTGCTCATTGCCCAGGACAATGAAGGTGGGGTTCCCTTGGGGCACAGATCAGGTGAGTTTGCGTGACACAAGGTTTGGGTTCCGCCAGTGCAGCTTCCTCAGCTGTGATCCATCCCATGGCACTCAGTGTCCCTGAGGTCTCGGGAGTTTCCCTGTGAAGTTTGAAAGGTGGGGCTCAGGTGAACCGGAAGCCCTGCTTTGCGTGCTGAGTAGTCTTTGCCTCTGGGTTAGGAGTCGTGTTTTCCGCCAGCATCCAAGAGATGGTGACAGGCCAATCGGTTATCTTAGAAACATGCCAGACCCTCTGCATAGCAGTCAGACATGAGTGTATTTTCATTGTAATTTGTGGGGATCCATAGACAGTGATTGTTTAGGTGCCAGCGGGTGATGTGGCAGTTAGGAGTGCTAGACTCCCGCATGGCTGACCACAGTTCAAGTCCCGGACGTGGTGGCTTGCTTTTTCACTCTCTCTCTTTCTCTCTCTGTCCCTTTCCAGTCCAATTAATATAAATAAATAAATACATAAAGTTAGAGAAAATAACTCTTTTTTAAAAAGCCATCGATTATTGGGAGAAGGTTCGCCGTGACTCTTTTGCGTTTTCGCACATCCTGTGAGCAGGCACGCGTTGTTCTGGATGCTCTTGTCAGTGGCATTTATCTAGTGGACAGCCTTGGAGGCACAGGCCCTCCCTCTGGAGCAGGCAGGTTTGCTCATTGCCCAGGACAATGAAGGTGGGGTTCCCTTGGGGCACAGATCAGGTGAGTTTGCGTGACACAAGGTTTGGGTTCCGCCAGTGCAGCTTCCTCAGCTGTGATCCATCCCATGGCACTCAGTGTCCCTGAGGTCTCGGGAGTTTCCCTGTGAAGTTTGAAAGGTGGGGCTCAGGTGAACCGGAAGCCCTGCTTTGCGTGCTGAGTAGTCTTTGCCTCTGGGTTAGGAGTCGTGTTTTCCGCCAGCATCCAAGAGATGGTGACAGGCCAATCGGTTATCTTAGAAACATGCCAGACCCTCTGCATAGCAGTCAGACATGAGTGTATTTTCATTGTAATTTGTGGGGATTCAGGTGCTTCGTTTCGTTAGTTTTTCTTAAAACTTTGTATTTTAGGGGGCGTTTCGCTTTTATCTCTGGGTAGTGACTTGATTACTGAAAGAGTAATTTGTGGTAGTCTGCTCTAGCAGTGCATTTCATGGGGCGTCTGGAGTACAGATTATTTTTGTCCCAAAGTCTCACAGCACTGTTGTTTCAGAGCTGCCTCGGGGCACGGGCACGTCTGAATCTCACAGACGGGTCCTCGTGGAGAGGCTCGCCCCGCCTTCTCTCCTGTCTCACTGTTCGCTTGTTCATAGATAAACAACTTCCCAAATTTCAAAAACTGCATTTTAAAGATCACTTTCAAAATATTTGTTATAGTTTTGTTTGTGACTTTATAATAACAGAGACAGTATGGTTTTAAATATTTTTGAGAAAATATTTACATGTTAACTACAAACCCAGATTTTTTAATTCGGGAAAAAATGTTTTTACTACTTTACCATTTTAATGAGTTCTATTAATAGATGATGTGATAGTACTTATTATTAATACTTATTTTTAAAATTTAACTTATAACTCAGGATTACCAGGCCCGCCTTTGGCCAAGGGGAATGATTTAAAAAACTATGTTATCTGGGGACCAGCAGTTGGCGTAATGGCTGTCTCTGGACTCCCATGTAGTCAATTGCAGTTCGAGTCCCAGACCCAGTGGCTTAAACTCATGCCGGGCGCATGTGCATGCGTGCCCAAGATCCTGAGAGGAGAATGGAGGAAAAGGGATTGCGGTGTGACCATCCCTCCCAAGGGCATGATTTCTTGCTTTCTGTCTGTCTGTCTGTCTCTGTCTTTCTGGCAAGCGCACGTGCTCTGTAGCAAAAACCTCTCTTGAAAAAATGTTACCTGAGGACCGGAAAATGGCGTAATGGTTATGTCACTGGATTCCCATGTAGTGGACCGCGGTTCAAGTCCTGGACCTGGCGACTTAAAATTCACATGTGCGTGCCCAAGGGCCCAAGAGGAGAACCGAGGAGAAGGGATTGCAGTGTACCATCTTCACTGGGGGATGATTTCTCGCTTTCTGCCTCTTTCTGTCTGTCCGATGAGCCCACACACCTTATAGCAAAAATCTCTTTTAAAAAATTTTTTAAAAAAAGTTATTAATTTACTGTAGTCAGCATCTTTTTAAAAAAAAATCAGATTTGAAATGTTAATTATATAAAGTTCAACTTAGGTCATGTAAACACTTCACAAAATTTCTTCCAGTCAGTTTAGGAATCATAGAACATCCCTCCCCCATCAACCCCCACAATTATATATTTCTTTTAACTTATGTTAATCTTCTACTGAGCCACCTTACTGATTTTAAACAAGGGGAAAGGAGTGAAACAAAATGGCTTCAGGGAGATCTTGATTTTTATGTCGAATGGCAAGAAAACCTAATAGAGAACGCTGTCCTTTGTGACCGTACATAGAGACTGGTGTAATTTTACTAGGGAGCTCATCAGCCCAGTTACGTAATTATCACTCTCGTCCGTAAGTTCCACTTCCTGGAGACCTGAAAGTTGACAACATCCTTGCGTCCAGGAGGCTGCTTCCAGCGACTCTGCAGCCGCCGCCATGCCACAAAACAAACATATTGAATCACATCGTGAACGCTATGGATACCGTTTGGATTACCATGAGAAAAAGAGAAAAGAGGAAAGTCGGGAGGCTCCCAAACATGTAAGGAAGGCAAAAAAGATGACTGGACTGAAGGCTGAGCTCTATCATCAACAGCACCATGCTGAGAAAACACAAATGAAAAAGACTATCAAGATGCATGAAAAGAGGAAACCGAACAATAGAGTGATGAACAGACCCCAGGAGGAGCAGGACCTGCCTGTCTGTTGGACAGAGGACAATCCCAAGCCGAAGTACTTTCCAGTATGATGAAACAAAAACGGAAAGAGAAAGCGGGAAAATGGGAAGTCTCTCCACCCAAAGTTCGAGCCCAGGGAGAAACAAGTTTTAAAAGTTACTCGAATGGGGAAGAGAAAGAAGAAGGCATGGAAGAGGATGGTTACAGAAGTTTGCTTTGTTGGAGGTGGCTTTACTAGAAAACCACCTAACTATGAAAGACTCAGTAGGCCAGTGGGCCCACGTTTCAAGAAGGCCCGTGTAACATATCCTGAACTGAAAGCCACTTTTGCCTGCCAGCACTAGGTATAAAGAAGAACCCCTCATCCCCACTACTACATCTGTGCACCAAAGGTCCTGTCACTGAGTGAACGTGAGCGAGCTGGGCCTTGTGACACAAGGAGGCAGGGTTATTTGGGGGAGGTATGCCCAAGTTACCAACAGCCCTGAAAATGATGGATGCATAGATGCTGTCTTACTGGTTTGAGAGCAGTTGCATACAAATAACTCCTTGTAATTTTGAAGATGATACACCATCTGGAAAACCACCATGACTGTGATGTTTCTGAATATAGCCGGTCTTACATGTCTGCAGTCATCCAAAGATTATTTATTAAATTGTACAAAAACATTAAAGTGGCCCGGCTTTACTAAATAAATAAATAAATAAATTTCACTTCCTTTCATTGTAGCTACTGAATGCTTTTAGGTCTATCTTTATAAAGATGATTCATTTCTTAAAAGGAGACATTCTCTTTTTCAAAAAAGGAACTTGTGCTGTTTTTGGAACATTCTAAACTACACTGCACGGCCTGGTCGGCTGCACTTTTTCTTTGCTTCCACGTCTCTTTCTCTAACAGTGCCATTCTGAGACTGAGAGATGCCGTGCCGCACTCGCACTGTCTGCTGCCCTGTCTAAAATGGAGAGCCTATGTCGCACGGCCAGCCCTCTTTGACTTGTCCCCTTCCCTTCTTCGTTTTCTCACACAGCACTTTCCCCACCTGACATACTGTTTATTGCCTCTCTCCCCTGAAGAAAGGGCAAAGATCTCTGTTATTTTACCACGGTATTTCTAAAGCACCTAGGTCATTACTTGGACCCGAGCTGGTACTCAGTAAACATTTGCTGAAGGAATGGGTGAGTGAAGAAATGCCTGTGTGTTTACTGTGGCCCAGACACTGCCACGCTCTTGCTGCCCCTGAAAAGTTTAGTCCTTAGGACAACCACTAGCCGCGAGAGATCTTCTGAGGAGGAGACCGGGAGGGGGGAGCAGCTGGCCTTGCCCTCTGGCACTCAGCTTATAAAAGTGGAGCTGACCTCATTTTGGCAGGTCTCAGGCTCTTAACTTCGCTGTCGTGTTTTTCTCAGCAGTAAATTGTATAACTTATTTAATTCTTTTTTTTTAAACAGGTAGAAGAGAATTTATCCAAAGATTAAAACTTGAAGCAACCCTAAATGTGCACGATGGCTGTGTAAGTAATAGTTAATTCTCCTCTGGGTGTTTGGATGTTTGATGAAATGCCCCAATCGTCCCTGAAGGGGTTGTGACTAATAAAATGGGAGAGTTTTGCATTAAAACATAAAGGTATATGTTGTATTTAGAAAAGTATTTCAAGTTTTTAAGGTGCAGATGAGTCTTCTCATATTATCAGAAGGCTTCCACCTCATTCACTCTACTGAAACGGCCTTTGCAAGGTCACTAGTGACCGCATATCGCCACACCTGGTGACTCAGAAGCTCTGACGTTCACTGTGCACACGCTCTTTTTCTGAAATCACTTATTTTGTCGGTTCCTGCGAATTCCACACTTTCTGATTCTTCCTGTGTTGGCTCACTGGGTCTTCGTCTTCCTGGCCGAGTCTTGACCTTCAGACTTGGTGGCGAAGACTCTCTCCTGGCACCGCCCGTGCTCTCTGCCCTCCAGCTCTGAGTGACCTTGGCCCACTCACCAGCATCTGACGCCCCCGTCCAGAGCACGCTTGTGTGTCTGTTCTCTCAGGAGCACTTCCAGTCACATGTCTGATAGGGCCCAGACCTAACAGGTCTGAAACAGAGCCCTTTGTAAGCTTTGCTATAAAACATTTTTTTGGTTAGACAATTATTTTATTTCACTTATTATCATCGCCATCATTTGTTTAATTTGGCTAGAGAGAGACAGAGAGAAAGAGAACGTAGGAAAGCAAGCTTCCAGGTCCAGGACTCAGACCACGGTGGGCCATGTGGGGTTCTAGTGCCTTAATAACCATGCCATCTGCCGGCCCCACATTTGTTGTAAAAATTTAAAGCATACTTTTCATATACTTATTGCCTGCATTTGGCGATTGTGAAGGTTTTGCCACATTTTCTTTTATATGTCATTTTCTTTTTCTCTCCTGGCTGAAGTATTTTAAAACAAATCCCAGCTAGTGTATCATTTCACCCCGATATGTAAGCCTATAACAGTGGGTATTTTTTACACTGTGTTACCAGAACGCCATTCTATGACTTAATTTTTGGGGGGAGAGGTTTTTTGCTATAGGGCGCCTATACTCGCCAGACAGACAGAGAGAGACATAGAGACAGAAAGTGAGAAATCACTCCCCGGGGGGATGGTCACGCCGCAATCCCTTCTCCTCCATTCTCCTCTCGGGATCTTGGGCATGCACACACATGCGCCCAGCGTGAGTTTTAAGCCACTGGGTCTGGGACACGAACCGCGGTCGACTACATGGGAGTCCAGCGACATAGCCATTACGCTAACTGCTGGTTCCCATAAAAACTTGTTAATTTTTTAAAAATTATTTATTTAACTTTATTTATCATTATTATTGTTATTTTAATTTGCTACAGGGTGCATGTGCTCACCAGAGAGAGACAGACAGACAGACAGACAGACATGTGGGAGTCCAGGACCTTAACAACCACACCACCTGCTGGGCCCAAAACTTTTTAACTTTTAAAATAAACAGTATTCACTGGATTGTATTTAAAGTGTAATCACAGTTCTGTAAAAATGTGGACAGGAAAAAGATAAACAGCTTGAGGGATAGCAGTACAAACATTTTCTTCTCCCTGAGTTTTAAATAGGCTCCGCAGGGCTCAGACCTGGGCCTCTGATCACATCCTGATTTCCTCCCCGCTGTTGTTTCTGCTCAGGTTTTCAGTCATCAGCTCCAGCAGTGTTCTCAGAAACAGGACCCCAGAACGCCGGGTCACAGTCTCCTTCAGGCTAGGGCCACTGATGTCCTTGGCTGTGCTCTTCAGAGGTTGGCTGTCTTAGCTCAGTTTCTTAAAAAAAAAAAAAAAAGTTTAAAAGTACATTGTTTAGATCACTTTTTATAATGAAATAAAGTATCCCAATGTAACAAGACTAATATCTGACTGAGAATAAGTGATTAAACTTTGAATTTCAGTAACTACCAGGTCTCACTTGTCTGCTGACTCTGAGGTGATGACAACTGGCCCAGAGCACTCGGGCCGGAAGGTTGTCTCACAGAGATGTCTCCTGGCCCTCCTGCTTTCGTCAGCACGCTGCCTCGCAGCCTGGGAGCACAGAGCCACGTGGCCTGCACTGTGCCGGCACACTGGGTCTTGGGCTATGGGAAGGCACCGAAGGGGTAAAGGAAACCAGAGGACACTTAGACCATCCGGGCAAGAGAAGACAACAGTTTAAATTGGGACAAGACAGACAAGAGGTAGATGGAGCCAGCCAGCGGGGAGGTGGTGAAGGTGCCTGGGTCACACCTGGCCAACCGCACAGTTCAAGTCCTAGACCCAGAGGCTTGAAAAGCATGCCAGGCACATGTGCATGTGTGTACCCCAAACCCCTAGGGTAAATTTGGCTGCTGCTAATACATTGAGAGAGGTTGCATTTTTATTTTTATTCAGTTCCAAATCCTCTCTATCAATAATTTACTTGGTAATTTTTTTCTTTTACCATTTGCTATTTTCTAGAGAGAGATTTTTGCCATAAGGTGTGTGTGCTTGCTCAAGAGATAGAAAGTGAGAAATCACCCTGGGGGGATGAGGTGGGTGGGTGGCCGGGTGGCCATGCCACAATCCCTTCTCCAGTCTCTGCTAGGGATTTTAAGTACACATGTATAAGCACCCAGCATGAGTTTCAAGCCACCAGGTCTGGGACTCGAACCGTGGTTGGCCAAGGAAGGAAGCCCAGCACCTTAACTACCATACCACCTGTTGGCCCCATGCTGGTGTATTTTACAGTTGTTCCTTCTTACCTATCCTGCTGGAAGCACAAGAGTTGTGCTCTGAAATTGACTGAGAACCTGGTTGAGCCCCTAAAGTTGAACCTCAGAGAAGAGTGCTCTCTCCAGGCCTCCCTCGGACTGCGACTAGGTCCCCAGGGAAGGTTCAACAATCTGGTTAGTCCTTTCTGAGCCATGGCTGTTTCGTCACTTTGAGTCCAGGTTCTCTGCCCGGCACTGTTTCCTGCAGGTTTCCCATGCCCCTGCTCCAGTGGACAGACCTCCTTGTCCCCTGTGGATCTCTTCAGTCTTAGGGGCAGTGGGCTGTCCTGTGTCCATCCGCACCTCTCCGAAGGAGTCAAGAGGAGTTGACTTTGCCGTCTGCCCAACTTTTATTTGTTGCCAGGATGTGGAATTGGAAACTGGAAATAGGTGTTTTCGATATGTCAACCGAAATGCGTTTACCACAGGGAGAGCCTTGTCAGAGTACAGCTTTCCTTCCGTGATCAAGTGTCCAGCTCGCTCACGCTTCTGCTCACTCTCCTAGGTCAACACGATCTGTTGGAATGACACAGGGGAGTACATCTTATCCGGCTCGGATGACACCAAGTTAGTGATTAGTGACCCAAACAGTGATTGGTTAGGGGCCAGCGGGTGATGTGGCAGTTAGGAGTGCTAGACTCCCGCATGGCTGACCACAGTTCAAGTCCCGGACGTGGTGGCTTGCTTTTTCACTCTCTCTCTTTCTCTCTCTGTCCCTTTCCAGTCCAATTAATATAAATAAATAAATACATAAAGTTAGAGAAAATAACTCTTTTTTAAAAAGCCATCGATTATTGGGAGAAGGTTCGCCGTGACTCTTTTGCGTTTTCGCACATCCTGTGAGCAGGCACGCGTTGTTCTGGATGCTCTTGTCAGTGGCATTTATCTAGTGGACAGCCTTGGAGGCACAGGCCCTCCCTCTGGAGCAGGCAGGTTTGCTCATTGCCCAGGACAATGAAGGTGGGGTTCCCTTGGGGCACAGATCAGGTGAGTTTGCGTGACACAAGGTTTGGGTTCCGCCAGTGCAGCTTCCTCAGCTGTGATCCATCCCATGGCACTCAGTGTCCCTGAGGTCTCGGGAGTTTCCCTGTGAAGTTTGAAAGGTGGGGCTCAGGTGAACCGGAAGCCCTGCTTTGCGTGCTGAGTAGTCTTTGCCTCTGGGTTAGGAGTCGTGTTTTCCGCCAGCATCCAAGAGATGGTGACAGGCCAATCGGTTATCTTAGAAACATGCCAGACCCTCTGCATAGCAGTCAGACATGAGTGTATTTTCATTGTAATTTGTGGGGATTCAGGTGCTTCGTTTCGTTAGTTTTTCTTAAAACTTTGTATTTTAGGGGGCGTTTCGCTTTTATCTCTGGGTAGTGACTTGATTACTGAAAGAGTAATTTGTGGTAGTCTGCTCTAGCAGTGCATTTCATGGGGCGTCTGGAGTACAGATTATTTTTGTCCCAAAGTCTCACAGCACTGTTGTTTCAGAGCTGCCTCGGGGCACGGGCACGTCTGAATCTCACAGACGGGTCCTCGTGGAGAGGCTCGCCCCGCCTTCTCTCCTGTCTCACTGTTCGCTTGTTCATAGATAAACAACTTCCCAAATTTCAAAAACTGCATTTTAAAGATCACTTTCAAAATATTTGTTATAGTTTTGTTTGTGACTTTATAATAACAGAGACAGTATGGTTTTAAATATTTTTGAGAAAATATTTACATGTTAACTACAAACCCAGATTTTTTAATTCGGGAAAAAATGTTTTTACTACTTTACCATTTTAATGAGTTCTATTAATAGATGATGTGATAGTACTTATTATTAATACTTATTTTTAAAATTTAACTTATAACTCAGGATTACCAGGCCCGCCTTTGGCCAAGGGGAATGATTTAAAAAACTATGTTATCTGGGGACCAGCAGTTGGCGTAATGGCTGTCTCTGGACTCCCATGTAGTCAATTGCAGTTCGAGTCCCAGACCCAGTGGCTTAAACTCATGCCGGGCGCATGTGCATGCGTGCCCAAGATCCTGAGAGGAGAATGGAGGAAAAGGGATTGCGGTGTGACCATCCCTCCCAAGGGCATGATTTCTTGCTTTCTGTCTGTCTGTCTGTCTCTGTCTTTCTGGCAAGCGCACGTGCTCTGTAGCAAAAACCTCTCTTGAAAAAATGTTACCTGAGGACCGGAAAATGGCGTAATGGTTATGTCACTGGATTCCCATGTAGTGGACCGCGGTTCAAGTCCTGGACCTGGCGACTTAAAATTCACATGTGCGTGCCCAAGGGCCCAAGAGGAGAACCGAGGAGAAGGGATTGCAGTGTACCATCTTCACTGGGGGATGATTTCTCGCTTTCTGCCTCTTTCTGTCTGTCCGATGAGCCCACACACCTTATAGCAAAAATCTCTTTTAAAAAATTTTTTAAAAAAAGTTATTAATTTACTGTAGTCAGCATCTTTTTAAAAAAAAATCAGATTTGAAATGTTAATTATATAAAGTTCAACTTAGGTCATGTAAACACTTCACAAAATTTCTTCCAGTCAGTTTAGGAATCATAGAACATCCCTCCCCCATCAACCCCCACAATTATATATTTCTTTTAACTTATGTTAATCTTCTACTGAGCCACCTTACTGATTTTAAACAAGGGGAAAGGAGTGAAACAAAATGGCTTCAGGGAGATCTTGATTTTTATGTCGAATGGCAAGAAAACCTAATAGAGAACGCTGTCCTTTGTGACCGTACATAGAGACTGGTGTAATTTTACTAGGGAGCTCATCAGCCCAGTTACGTAATTATCACTCTCGTCCGTAAGTTCCACTTCCTGGAGACCTGAAAGTTGACAACATCCTTGCGTCCAGGAGGCTGCTTCCAGCGACTCTGCAGCCGCCGCCATGCCACAAAACAAACATATTGAATCACATCGTGAACGCTATGGATACCGTTTGGATTACCATGAGAAAAAGAGAAAAGAGGAAAGTCGGGAGGCTCCCAAACATGTAAGGAAGGCAAAAAAGATGACTGGACTGAAGGCTGAGCTCTATCATCAACAGCACCATGCTGAGAAAACACAAATGAAAAAGACTATCAAGATGCATGAAAAGAGGAAACCGAACAATAGAGTGATGAACAGACCCCAGGAGGAGCAGGACCTGCCTGTCTGTTGGACAGAGGACAATCCCAAGCCGAAGTACTTTCCAGTATGATGAAACAAAAACGGAAAGAGAAAGCGGGAAAATGGGAAGTCTCTCCACCCAAAGTTCGAGCCCAGGGAGAAACAAGTTTTAAAAGTTACTCGAATGGGGAAGAGAAAGAAGAAGGCATGGAAGAGGATGGTTACAGAAGTTTGCTTTGTTGGAGGTGGCTTTACTAGAAAACCACCTAACTATGAAAGACTCAGTAGGCCAGTGGGCCCACGTTTCAAGAAGGCCCGTGTAACATATCCTGAACTGAAAGCCACTTTTGCCTGCCAGCACTAGGTATAAAGAAGAACCCCTCATCCCCACTACTACATCTGTGCACCAAAGGTCCTGTCACTGAGTGAACGTGAGCGAGCTGGGCCTTGTGACACAAGGAGGCAGGGTTATTTGGGGGAGGTATGCCCAAGTTACCAACAGCCCTGAAAATGATGGATGCATAGATGCTGTCTTACTGGTTTGAGAGCAGTTGCATACAAATAACTCCTTGTAATTTTGAAGATGATACACCATCTGGAAAACCACCATGACTGTGATGTTTCTGAATATAGCCGGTCTTACATGTCTGCAGTCATCCAAAGATTATTTATTAAATTGTACAAAAACATTAAAGTGGCCCGGCTTTACTAAATAAATAAATAAATAAATTTCACTTCCTTTCATTGTAGCTACTGAATGCTTTTAGGTCTATCTTTATAAAGATGATTCATTTCTTAAAAGGAGACATTCTCTTTTTCAAAAAAGGAACTTGTGCTGTTTTTGGAACATTCTAAACTACACTGCACGGCCTGGTCGGCTGCACTTTTTCTTTGCTTCCACGTCTCTTTCTCTAACAGTGCCATTCTGAGACTGAGAGATGCCGTGCCGCACTCGCACTGTCTGCTGCCCTGTCTAAAATGGAGAGCCTATGTCGCACGGCCAGCCCTCTTTGACTTGTCCCCTTCCCTTCTTCGTTTTCTCACACAGCACTTTCCCCACCTGACATACTGTTTATTGCCTCTCTCCCCTGAAGAAAGGGCAAAGATCTCTGTTATTTTACCACGGTATTTCTAAAGCACCTAGGTCATTACTTGGACCCGAGCTGGTACTCAGTAAACATTTGCTGAAGGAATGGGTGAGTGAAGAAATGCCTGTGTGTTTACTGTGGCCCAGACACTGCCACGCTCTTGCTGCCCCTGAAAAGTTTAGTCCTTAGGACAACCACTAGCCGCGAGAGATCTTCTGAGGAGGAGACCGGGAGGGGGGAGCAGCTGGCCTTGCCCTCTGGCACTCAGCTTATAAAAGTGGAGCTGACCTCATTTTGGCAGGTCTCAGGCTCTTAACTTCGCTGTCGTGTTTTTCTCAGCAGTAAATTGTATAACTTATTTAATTCTTTTTTTTTAAACAGGTAGAAGAGAATTTATCCAAAGATTAAAACTTGAAGCAACCCTAAATGTGCACGATGGCTGTGTAAGTAATAGTTAATTCTCCTCTGGGTGTTTGGATGTTTGATGAAATGCCCCAATCGTCCCTGAAGGGGTTGTGACTAATAAAATGGGAGAGTTTTGCATTAAAACATAAAGGTATATGTTGTATTTAGAAAAGTATTTCAAGTTTTTAAGGTGCAGATGAGTCTTCTCATATTATCAGAAGGCTTCCACCTCATTCACTCTACTGAAACGGCCTTTGCAAGGTCACTAGTGACCGCATATCGCCACACCTGGTGACTCAGAAGCTCTGACGTTCACTGTGCACACGCTCTTTTTCTGAAATCACTTATTTTGTCGGTTCCTGCGAATTCCACACTTTCTGATTCTTCCTGTGTTGGCTCACTGGGTCTTCGTCTTCCTGGCCGAGTCTTGACCTTCAGACTTGGTGGCGAAGACTCTCTCCTGGCACCGCCCGTGCTCTCTGCCCTCCAGCTCTGAGTGACCTTGGCCCACTCACCAGCATCTGACGCCCCCGTCCAGAGCACGCTTGTGTGTCTGTTCTCTCAGGAGCACTTCCAGTCACATGTCTGATAGGGCCCAGACCTAACAGGTCTGAAACAGAGCCCTTTGTAAGCTTTGCTATAAAACATTTTTTTGGTTAGACAATTATTTTATTTCACTTATTATCATCGCCATCATTTGTTTAATTTGGCTAGAGAGAGACAGAGAGAAAGAGAACGTAGGAAAGCAAGCTTCCAGGTCCAGGACTCAGACCACGGTGGGCCATGTGGGGTTCTAGTGCCTTAATAACCATGCCATCTGCCGGCCCCACATTTGTTGTAAAAATTTAAAGCATACTTTTCATATACTTATTGCCTGCATTTGGCGATTGTGAAGGTTTTGCCACATTTTCTTTTATATGTCATTTTCTTTTTCTCTCCTGGCTGAAGTATTTTAAAACAAATCCCAGCTAGTGTATCATTTCACCCCGATATGTAAGCCTATAACAGTGGGTATTTTTTACACTGTGTTACCAGAACGCCATTCTATGACTTAATTTTTGGGGGGAGAGGTTTTTTGCTATAGGGCGCCTATACTCGCCAGACAGACAGAGAGAGACATAGAGACAGAAAGTGAGAAATCACTCCCCGGGGGGATGGTCACGCCGCAATCCCTTCTCCTCCATTCTCCTCTCGGGATCTTGGGCATGCACACACATGCGCCCAGCGTGAGTTTTAAGCCACTGGGTCTGGGACACGAACCGCGGTCGACTACATGGGAGTCCAGCGACATAGCCATTACGCTAACTGCTGGTTCCCATAAAAACTTGTTAATTTTTTAAAAATTATTTATTTAACTTTATTTATCATTATTATTGTTATTTTAATTTGCTACAGGGTGCATGTGCTCACCAGAGAGAGACAGACAGACAGACAGACAGACATGTGGGAGTCCAGGACCTTAACAACCACACCACCTGCTGGGCCCAAAACTTTTTAACTTTTAAAATAAACAGTATTCACTGGATTGTATTTAAAGTGTAATCACAGTTCTGTAAAAATGTGGACAGGAAAAAGATAAACAGCTTGAGGGATAGCAGTACAAACATTTTCTTCTCCCTGAGTTTTAAATAGGCTCCGCAGGGCTCAGACCTGGGCCTCTGATCACATCCTGATTTCCTCCCCGCTGTTGTTTCTGCTCAGGTTTTCAGTCATCAGCTCCAGCAGTGTTCTCAGAAACAGGACCCCAGAACGCCGGGTCACAGTCTCCTTCAGGCTAGGGCCACTGATGTCCTTGGCTGTGCTCTTCAGAGGTTGGCTGTCTTAGCTCAGTTTCTTAAAAAAAAAAAAAAAGTTTAAAAGTACATTGTTTAGATCACTTTTTATAATGAAATAAAGTATCCCAATGTAACAAGACTAATATCTGACTGAGAATAAGTGATTAAACTTTGAATTTCAGTAACTACCAGGTCTCACTTGTCTGCTGACTCTGAGGTGATGACAACTGGCCCAGAGCACTCGGGCCGGAAGGTTGTCTCACAGAGATGTCTCCTGGCCCTCCTGCTTTCGTCAGCACGCTGCCTCGCAGCCTGGGAGCACAGAGCCACGTGGCCTGCACTGTGCCGGCACACTGGGTCTTGGGCTATGGGAAGGCACCGAAGGGGTAAAGGAAACCAGAGGACACTTAGACCATCCGGGCAAGAGAAGACAACAGTTTAAATTGGGACAAGACAGACAAGAGGTAGATGGAGCCAGCCAGCGGGGAGGTGGTGAAGGTGCCTGGGTCACACCTGGCCAACCGCACAGTTCAAGTCCTAGACCCAGAGGCTTGAAAAGCATGCCAGGCACATGTGCATGTGTGTACCCCAAACCCCTAGGGTAAATTTGGCTGCTGCTAATACATTGAGAGAGGTTGCATTTTTATTTTTATTCAGTTCCAAATCCTCTCTATCAATAATTTACTTGGTAATTTTTTTCTTTTACCATTTGCTATTTTCTAGAGAGAGATTTTTGCCATAAGGTGTGTGTGCTTGCTCAAGAGATAGAAAGTGAGAAATCACCCTGGGGGGATGAGGTGGGTGGGTGGCCGGGTGGCCATGCCACAATCCCTTCTCCAGTCTCTGCTAGGGATTTTAAGTACACATGTATAAGCACCCAGCATGAGTTTCAAGCCACCAGGTCTGGGACTCGAACCGTGGTTGGCCAAGGAAGGAAGCCCAGCACCTTAACTACCATACCACCTGTTGGCCCCATGCTGGTGTATTTTACAGTTGTTCCTTCTTACCTATCCTGCTGGAAGCACAAGAGTTGTGCTCTGAAATTGACTGAGAACCTGGTTGAGCCCCTAAAGTTGAACCTCAGAGAAGAGTGCTCTCTCCAGGCCTCCCTCGGACTGCGACTAGGTCCCCAGGGAAGGTTCAACAATCTGGTTAGTCCTTTCTGAGCCATGGCTGTTTCGTCACTTTGAGTCCAGGTTCTCTGCCCGGCACTGTTTCCTGCAGGTTTCCCATGCCCCTGCTCCAGTGGACAGACCTCCTTGTCCCCTGTGGATCTCTTCAGTCTTAGGGGCAGTGGGCTGTCCTGTGTCCATCCGCACCTCTCCGAAGGAGTCAAGAGGAGTTGACTTTGCCGTCTGCCCAACTTTTATTTGTTGCCAGGATGTGGAATTGGAAACTGGAAATAGGTGTTTTCGATATGTCAACCGAAATGCGTTTACCACAGGGAGAGCCTTGTCAGAGTACAGCTTTCCTTCCGTGATCAAGTGTCCAGCTCGCTCACGCTTCTGCTCACTCTCCTAGGTCAACACGATCTGTTGGAATGACACAGGGGAGTACATCTTATCCGGCTCGGATGACACCAAGTTAGTGATTAGTGACCCTTACAGCAGAAAGGTAAAGTAGCTCAAAATTCTATTTAATGAGGGGGGAAATCAACAAGATAGAAATGAAAAAATTATAGTCATGAAGAGGTCATTTGTAAATGAATATTCTCATTTTACTAAAGTTAACTGTATAATTTAGAAGTTAGTACCTGTAGCAACTTAGTTTCCTTAGGGAAAGGTAAAATGTTCTTTAACTTACTTAGGGTTAAAGTATTCAAATACGCTTCAGGTGTATAATAATTGCCACAAGTGACATCATCTCAGTAACACTGGGGACAAAAAGATAATGTGATTTATTTTTTCTTTAGCATAAAGTTCTCTCAGTAAATGAATTATCCTCTGTGTGATTCATTTCTAGCATACTATGAGTAACTGAATTTTTCCTATTAGTGAGCAGGGGTCTTTCAAAATTGGTACTTTCTTTTGTACTTAAAAGTGGTTAGAGATGTAAACATTCACAGTAGAATAACTAATATGCTTTATTTAAATTTGATTGTAAGTTTTTTGAAAAGAGTTGGAGGTTTTTGTTTATTTTTTTTTAGAGATTTTTGCTGTAGGGTGTTTGTGCTCATGGAGAGACAGAGAGACAGAAACTGAGAAATCACTCCTCCACCCCCACCCCCCAGTGGGGATGGCCACATTGCAATCCCTTCTATTCCATTCTCCTCTTGGGATTTTGGGCACGCACATACATGTGCCTGGCATGAGTTTCAAGTCACCAGGTCCAGGACTCGAACCACAGTTGGCCACAGAGGAGTCCAGCACCTTAACCACTATTCCACCCGTTGGTCCCAAGAATTGGAGTTTTAAGCCTCAGTGATCCTTGGTTAAATATGTGTATCATGACATTCTGTATAGAACATCACTTTGTAAATATTCATATTCAGCTATATTAATTTTAAACATTTAGAAGAGGGGCAGCCAGTGGCATAGTGGTCAAAGCAACTGGATCTTACGTTGCTAACTTTGTAGTTTGAATCCTGGATCCAGCAGCTTGGGTGTATGTGCATGTGCACCTCAAGTCCCGAGAGGAAGATGGAACAGAAGGGATTGTGGTGTGGCCGTCCTCCCTGGGGCCGATTTCTCTATTTCTCTCACTCTCTGCCCATTGAGTGTATGTGCTCCTTAGCAAAACTTAAAAAAAAAAATAATGAATTTTAAGAGGAATGTTGAAAGTCTTAAAATGTATTTGTTTTTATATTTTTAAAGTTTTATAGATCACAGTGAAAAATACGAATCTTTTCACCTAAATGGGCTTCTCTTCATGTGGCACATTATTTTAGTATATTTATTTTCACCACTAATTTTATGTTTTAGGGAAGAAGTAAAGCTAGAGATTGTATTGTGCAGTCTTTAGACTGTTTTTGCATAGAACTGTAACACTCTCAGTTTCATCCTTTTGTCCCCTAAAGTGCTGTGAGCATTTTTGAAATTGTGTATCTATTGGGAGTTAGAAGGGAGTCATTGAAGGGCTGCAGAGGGCCCTCCTTTGAGAGGCTTGGCTTACCCCTCCATGTACACTGGTTCCGTGGACCCTCCTGGCGGTTCTGGCACACAGGCCTGTATGACCTCATGGAGCTTCAAAACTGGGGCCTCTACAAAAAAGGATGGGAGGGAATGAGGCCAGAGTAGGGACCTGTGGATCCAGGCCTAGCTCATTGCCCCTTGCCGTGTTGCCATGCAGCTGCCACACGTGGCCCCTTGACCTTGGGTCTCCAAACCTCCCTTGACCTTGAGCCTCCAAACCTCCCTTGCCGATGGCCCCAGGATCCACCTGCACCTCGGTGAGAGGAGACTCGAATCTCTGCCTGAAGAGTCCAGCGTAACTGATGCCGGTGCACGTGAGCCCCTCAGATGACGAAAGGCTGGAACCAGAAGTGACAAGGGGCATTCACCACCATCTTTCTGCCCCTGGCCAGTTTACCAAACAGCCATCTGGTCTCCCTTACTGTGAGGCACACACTGCCTTAGGAAGGAAGGAATTTGCTCTGCAGATTCAGACACGTCCTGATTTGTAAGCTGCCCTGAAGTGGTCTTTGATCAAGTAAAGCAGTGTTCAGGCACATTTCACTGTTGGCCTTACAGGATCGGAGCCATTGATTTTCCCAGACAGACGTTGGTTCTAGGGGCCCCGGCCACCTTCGTGTGCAAAAGTACCGGGGCTGGCCGACTGGCCAGTTATCAGGACTTGGTGACCTTCACTCACGTGGCTGTGAACTTTACCCAAGAGGCGTGGATTTTATTGGATCAAATTCAGAGAAACCTGTGCAGAGATGTGTTACTGGAGAACTTCAAGAACCTCGCCTCTGTAGGAAGTCAGCTTTTCAAACCCAGTTTGTTTTCCTGACTGGAGGAAAGAGAAAAGTCGAAGACTGTACAGAGAAGAGGTTTTTAAGACAGGAAGCTGCAGTGGAGGGGCAACCTATGGCTGTGTTACACGGCCCCACGGACGCGGGCGGTAACCCTGGCTCTGTCTCCCTGATGGCTGGCTGTGCATGAAAACTCCTTCTTGCTTCAGGACCCAGTGCCTCAGTGATGGCTTTTGGGGCATCAAGCAGCAGCCTTGTTTCTTGGGTAACACTGTAAGCCGTGTGGGGAGATGGTGGGTGAACTCTCATGCCTTACACACATGAAAAACTCAAAATGCAGGAGATCCTTAAGAGTGTAGTAAGTATGGAAAAGACTTTCCTTCTCTGCGTGAGAAAACCTCTGGTGGAAAGAAACAGTGCCTCGAATCTGTGTGGAGAAGCCTTCAGCCTGACCTCAGTAGTTGGTGGTATTCCAGAGAATGCGCATGCAAGGCAGAGCTGGGATGCCGTGACTGTGGGTCAGCCCACTTCTGGTGTGGGCTGTCCTCCTTCAGACACATAGGAGAGCTCACTGTGGAGGAAGATGTACCAGCAGAAGCTGCTTGCGTAGCTGTGCTTTTACCTGTTCAGTATACAGACCCTACGAAAACACGAGTGTGAGAACGTCTAACTATTCTGTAATCCTTACTGGGGAGAAACCCTGTGAAGTAAACAATGTGGAAAAGCCTTCATTGGGTGCACAGGTCTGCTAAATATTTCCAAATACAGCCTGGAGAAAAGCCCCTATGTATGTAAAGAATGTAGGAAACCACATTGGCTTTATCTGCTTCCTGATGGCTTACGAACTCACGTTGGGAAGAAGCCCTTTGAATGTAAGATATGTGGAAAATCCTTTACTAGGTCCTCATGCGTGGTAGTCACTTTTGAATTCATGCTGGACTAAAGCCTTGTACATGTATGGGTTTGGGGAGGGCCTTTTCTTTTTACTCATGCCTGAGTAATCATGTAAGAACTCAGCTGGAGAGAAGCCTCGTTAGTGTAAGGAGTGTGGGGAAACCTCCATGCACCTCCATGCCTTAGCTCGCATATAAAACGTCACACTGGAGAGAAGCCACCTACATCAAGGGGTGTGGGAAAGCCTTGGGTGCTTCTGTCCATTTGCATCGTCACACCCAAGTGCACACTGCAGAAAAAACCACTGTCAAGAATGTGGGAAAGCCTTGAACCAGCAGTTCGCATAGTGGCTCTGTCGCTGGACTCCCATGTAGTCAACTGCAATTTGAGTCCCGGACCCAGCGGCCGAAACTCACACCGGGCACATGTGTGTGCGCACCCAAGATCCCAAGAGGAGAATGGAGAAGAAGGGATTGCTGCATGGCCATTCCCTCCCCCACCCCAGGGCGGGGGGTAATTTCTCACTTTCTGCCTCTCTGTCTCTGTCTGTCTTTCTGGCAAGTGTATGCGCCCTATAGCAAAATCCTCTCAAAAAATAAAATAAAATAAAGAAAAGAAAAGAAAAAAGGAATGTGGGAAACCCTTCAGTTCTGCCTATTTACTGCAAAGACTTGAAACAACCCCCACTCTCTGATAGTCCCTTAATGTGAGGAATGTGGGAGAGCCATCAGAATCTGCTTGTAACCTGGATGTAAGGAAGGTCTCACTCGGAAGCCATACAGTCTAAGAAATATGGACAACCATCTCTGTTTCTTCAGACCTTAAAATGTGAGCTCTTACAATGGAGGGAATCTTACTGATACAAGGTCCTTGGAAAAGTTGTCTGGTGAATACTTTGGTGACTTGTGACGTCACAGTGGAGGTAAATAGTAGGAATGTAAGAGGTGGTGGAAGGCCGTCATTTTTTTTTTTTAAGAGTTTTTTGCTATAGGGCGCATGCACTCGCCAGACAGAGACAGAGAGACAGAAAGCGAGAAATCACCCCCAGGGGGGATGGCCATGCCGCAATCCCTTCTCCTCCGTTCTCCTCTCGGGATCTTGGGCATGCATGCACACGTGCCCGGCGTGAGTTTTAAGCTACCAGGTTCGGGACGCGAACCGCAGTCGACTACATGGGAGTCCAGCGACATAGCCATTACGCTAACTGCTGGTCCCGGCCGTCATTCTTTTCATTACACTGTTGTTTAACCTATAGTAAGTGTGGTGTGTCACACCTCAGAGGAACTGTACATACAGTGAGTATCAGAATTGCTCCTTATGGCCTGGAATCTTGTATGCCAACAGAGGTATGGCTTTTGGGTGGTTCTGTAGACTTATTTGGAACATTTGTGATTCTGTCCTTATTTTTCTCCCCCCCTAAAAGCTCTGTTGTCATATTTTCTTAAGCTGCTATTCTGCACCAGGCTTTACGTGGGGACGATGATGTGTATCCATAATCTGCAGTCGCAGTGGGCTCCCTGCCCACCTGACTTTGGTCTTTGTTGTGTGAGTTCTGAAAGTATCTGGTTCTTGTTGGTGAAAAATATGTAAATAGTATCTACACTTTGGATGCAGGCTAGGCTTGGACGTGGTAGAAGTATTCCAGGAAATTGGAAGTAGTCAGCTCTAGCTGGAGAAAAAGGAGCAAGTTTGCCCCCAGTTGAGTTTCCCAACAATTTGCTTTATTCAGTTTTCAAATCCCTAGTTACTGAGGGCAAAGTGTCCAGTTACACAGTTCTTAGTGTCTGCCTGGCTCTGTGGCTGATGG